CCACTTCAGCATTCGTTGATCTGGAATCCATTTCGATGCTCCTCTTGACAGCCCTTTTTGTCCTCTCCGATGGACCAGGACGACCCGGACGCTACCCAGTCGTTTCCTTGCCCTGTTTCCTAAGCTGCACGATGATTCTGTTGACTGTCGAAAGCGGGATTCCCAAATTCTGCGAAATTTGCCGCTGACTTCTTCCACCATCTGCTTGACCAACTACCCTTCTTCTAACAAAATCTGACAGTTCGAGAGAACCTTGAGTTCTATGCACAAGATACTTAGTGTGCGGACCATTTTCATTTATACAGTGCTCTGTGAACACAAATTAGTTAGCATAAATCAGTTAAATGACGAAAAATTAGGTGTCTATTTACTTGTGACCACTGAGTGTACATGTTAAGAATGTGACAAAGTTTGTAATATTTTCCTACAAACGTCTCTTATGTTGTTTTGCCTACAAAAGTTAACAGATATATTATTTTCGCTAGGGGGCTATAAAGTCACAAGAGATATGAAGGCTTAACAAATCTTACTCTTGTCAACTTCATCCTGGGTGATTATTTTGCATTTTTTAAGGGCGCACTTTTTTTAGTACTTCACTTGAGGAATATAATCTAATGCCACCCAGAGTGTACGTTTGTTTCTTTATTTCTTATGCTGAAATCGAAGATCTTAACTACGTGGGTTTCATTGTACCTTGTATGAACTTTGCTGTATCAGGTCGCGAAGCATGTCTGATGGCTAAAGTTAACAAAATCTTAAAAAATTCAGTTGACTCTTCAGTAAGGTTTGATCATCCCTTTTCAAAACATTTAGATTATACACATAGATAGCCTCGGATCTGATGAGCGGCGGAGCTAATAAAGGAAACCATTAGCGAGCGTCTGTCGCTTCTGTATGATTTAATAGAGCTTTAACAACTTTCATTTGAACGCTACCAGCTGGTGATACGAGGTAACGTAGTGTATACAGTCGGAGAAGAAATCAAATTAAGTTTTTCAAAATAAAAACCGGGAACAGTGTTTTTTAAACGAAGAAGATTGATGGGGAAATCTAAGAAAGCCTTAAAAGAGTCATTAATGTTTTAGATATACTGGTTGAGAAAAGATGCCTTAGAAGAAAAAGTTTAAATAGGTTGTTTTAAATCTCACAGTTGTAAATATTTTAAGGTTGTTTTCCAATTCCCTGCGATCTCTTTTCGCGAAGATCTTCCATCGAAACGTAAGTCATACGTGCCAAGACATACTAACTTAGGACTAACATGGTAGCATATCTCGGATCATGTGGGTGGCTTGGTAATTACATTAATTATTATTATATTTAATACACAAAATAGAGTCTGACAATAAACAAAAACAACCGGTAATTTATATTAGCATCTTGAAATCTACCAAAATGTTTCTTGCAAGCTTTAAAATAAGAAATAGGATGTAAACTATTGTAATGTTTTAAATGTTGAGGTTAATAGATAGATAATTAATTCATAATGCACAGAAACACACGGCAGAAATGAAAATTGCTAAATACCTAGTAATTTTTCAACGCACCCTCCTTTTTCTCCCCAAAAGGGCGGGTCATTGTTTTAATATCAAATTTTCTCAAGTTTTATACCACTCTTTTTGTATGTGTGTTTTTTCCTGAGGGGTCAGATGAAACGCGTAAAAAGGTATTTATGCGTTTTTTGTAGGACGCATATTTGGTTGAGACGAGAGTGATTGATGCTAATAAGAAGTACATTAACAATGAAACATAATTATATTTTCTTCTATAACAGCTGTCGTTCATCAATATCACCTGTCATTTGCATTTTCGCAAGGCCATAAAAGTAAACAAACGTGACCTATAAATATACAGCATTTTATATCCGAAGTAGATTTCGATGAGGCCATAAGAGTATAATGTAAAGAACATTACCTATGTGAGATCATTACTATCAAAAGACTGGCTTTACAGAGATCTAACTAGCATTAGGAAAGACAGAAATTGCCTTTCGTTTCATCAAGTAAGTTATGTTTAATATGTGAAACAAAATAACTGAAATAGTTTGCAGTTAAAATCATTAATTTTAATGATTGAACCTCGATTTGTTGTAGAGACAGATTAAATTAGATCCAATTTTATCAGATGGGAAAATATACTTGTATTTCTATCGTCCCTTCTGCTTTCGAGACACAAAATTCCATACAACACCAAAGACACGAAGTTTATTCTTTCGTTTGGAAAACTAGATAACAAAAACTTCG